TGCACAAGGGCTGATCCGTGGCCGTGACTCGGCCACAGTGTGAGACTGACGCCCACAGCATTCGCGCGCGCGGTGACAGCGGACTTAGGCCGAGCGGCTACGCTCGGTGTCGTACACGCATTTTAAAGCGAAGCAAAGAATGCCGATCATCTCAACCAATCCTACTAACCTAAAGTCGACACTACTAGCTAGCTAGCGGAGCAATCGTCATAACCCAAGAGCAACCAGAGAGGTTCATCGCTGGAGTGCCGATTCACGAATAGAGCGCCAACAACATGGTTACAACGCGTTCTAAGGAGATTTGGACAATTTTTACGAGAACAACATGACATCAAACACAACTTCGGCCCACACCATGCTCATGTACTCACTTTGATGCAATCAACAATACCTAAAACATGCAGCTAGTGTTTAAACATTTTAGCTAGAATTTAAATGTCAAAATAGTATTGTCTTACTACTTTTCCATACTTAGAAAAGTAAGGATTTTAGTTGGGGCTAAGCAATCATTAACTCTTTTGTCGTAATTTTTAATAGGTCTAAACCTTGTTAACTTCAACCAACAAATACTTCGTGCAATAGTCCCTACCTTTTACTAACCCATAGGAGCAAAATATTTAAGCACCATTTAACTATTTTGCTCAATATAATTCGTTAAAAATAGTATTTTAACAATAGTTCAAGTGTTTGCCGACTTAACGATAAGAGCTTATCTTAACGTCAAATTTGATTTTTGAGCTCCCAAGAGCACTAGTTAACACTTATTTATTTTGATTTTTCTCAATCACAAAAGTGAGTCACATAGGATTCGCTTATCATTTCACGTATGTTATAAATTTTTAAAACTCGAAAACTTGTTTGGCTAATCTCTCTTGGACCTAAATCTCAGTGCTACGCAAGCTCGTGACACCAGGGGTGTTACACAAGGCGCTTCCATTTATATATCTAATCTATGATGCTTTTGTGGGTTGTGATCACAGACCGACAAATATTTGAACAATGGTGTGAGATGTTGGTTTAAAAACTATTTTGCTTCTGCTACTACTTTATTTGAACTTGGTTTGTAATAACTTTAATCGCACTCTGATGTATGGCAATGTATTTGTGAACTTTACGTAACATATGGCATGTATGTTGAATTACGTACGATCTTGGTTTATATGGGCTCAAGTATGATAGTAGGACCGCTTGCGGGCTGCCATTGTACTTGTGCTCTTATAAATTAGACGGGTCTGTTACAACAACACATTGGTCAGATTGGTTATTATAGTGGGACACGTCCACCCTTGTTTAGGTCTATAATGTTTTGTTGGCACATGTATATATTTTTTTAAAAATAGTGTTTTGTGTAAAATGAAATGATATATAGTTAGTATTGGTAGTTTCTATTTCTTGGGCCCTAAGTTTTAAAAAAATGCTACTTCTGTAGTATATTGTATACATGAACTATGTGGCTGTGGGACATACCTCAACAATCCAATACCGAGGGCTATAGTGTATAGATCTGATCAAACACCAGGTAAGGTCAGGCCAAAAAGAAAAATGCAAGGCAATTTTAGCCCGAGCCGTCATGACACACTGGTAGATTCGGTCGAGCTATTTCTTAGATTTTTCAACTTTAGTTTCAGTTTTTTAGATTAGGATGAGTCATGGATCGAAAATTACAATCCAAATCCAACGACATCTGGGGTGGGTTGGATTTTTTCTACAGGTGTTCAAGTCTATATGGATTATCACATACTCCGTATGAGACTTGTACTTTATGAACCCATATATTTAATATTCATTTTTCTTCATCTTTAAAATGCGATTTATATTACTTTTTGAATGATTATTTATATTCACATCGCCTCTATGTAATCTGAACGTATTTGTTGAAGTTTGGATCGGTATTAGGCCGAGTTGTTGTGACATTGCAGTAGCTGTGAGCAAAATGCTTACAAATGTTCCTCGAAGAAAAGTTTGCAAATAACATTATGCCATTATTAAGATATGTTTCTTAACCCACAGAAAAAATGGCTGACCAAACTGGTGCATTGCGATGATGACGAAATATACATTAGGAAATGAAAGAGAAAGATGTTTAATGAAAGTGAGTCTGTCTACTGCACAATCATATATTTTATACAATTACAACACATGAATTTTTTTTGCACCATAAGATTAAAATCCAACAGCCTCCATCCTTCTTCTACCTCTAGCCTTCTTCTACCTTCAGATAATCACAAGATCACAGATCCACATATCACAAATCACATATCACAGAAAACAATTTTTTTTCTATGAAAGGACAAAATACAGAGGGCTTGGTTCCATTGCCTGGCCGGTGCTGGTGCTGCGCTGCTGGTGCTGACGGAATGCTACTGCTGGTGTCGCGTTGCAGATCTGACGGACTGCTGCTGCTGGTGTCGCGTCATGGTGCACTACCGATGCACTCTAGATCCGACGGACGCAGATAAACCGAGGCCACGATCTGGTGGACTAAAATTTATGTGTTTTTAGTACTAAAACACACATATGTTGTATAGCATTTCTGTTAATGAAATAAACCCTCCTCAGGTTCCATCAAGATGAGCTACCGCAGCATATCCGTGTTGACCCCACCATCGCTGATCTTATAATTTGCTAGTCAGCAGCTGTAGTTAAATTAACCAGCAAAGCAAATCCAGATGCGTGAAAACTGAACCAAAGCACCGAGAAATAAACAACAACAAAACAAAATATAGTCTCCTACAACTAAAAAGAACAAAGTGTGGATATTTTTTTATGCGACATTTGTTTTGGTTTCATCCGTCTATCCACACCTGCGATCCCACGACATCTTAATTACTGATTGATCGTGCCATTCTCCTTGATTGAATATTATCTGTCATGTGATAGAGGAATCATAGCAAAATAGGAAGTAGAAAATTATTGTGCTATCCATATACATATTGTATGTTTGCATGCACCAGCATACATGGCAACGACAAAAAAGAAAGAGAATTAACACAGAAGGAAAGAGAATTAAGACATAATGAATCTCTTTGCATTTTTGAGAACATTACCAAATCTGACTACATTTAATTACTTCTTCTTTTGCATTTGCAAAAGGGACAGCTTTTTTCTCCTTTAATTTGGTTTCACGCTCACGTATTTCATCGCCCTCGCTTGCTGTTTCTTGCGTGAACCATAGTTGATGTCATCTGTCTTCCATGATTCAGCCTCTCAATCCCAAGAGAAGGTCCCTACCTCTCTCGATGAAGATCCGGCCCGCCAGAGGATCTCTCTCGAGTCCATCGGGCGCGTCTCGTGTCGTGCCACGACGCGCGGTGTCCTTTCGATCCGCTTGCTTCATGGGGTCACCATCCCGTTCGCGACCTTCGAGGATCCTCCATCCCTGTTCGACCCGACTTCGGACGCGACGGCGGATCACCGCGTCCCGAGAAGGTCCATCAAAGCTAGAAGACATGCGGGGCGTGGCGTCTTTCGTGTGTGGTGGTGGCGCATGGACGGCGGCGGCGCCCATGACGCCGCTTGAATCTATTCGCCGGTGCCCGTGTCCCCGCGTTGAGCTCCCGCCATGCGTAACACGCGTGGCGTGGTCGGAACACGTGAGGGTCCACGGTCGGTGGATCCTCCATCCCCACCAACGGCCACGGGACACGGATACCCGACGAGCCATCAAGCTAGAAGACATGAGGGACGTGTTCTTTCGTGAGATCGACCCGCTGACGCCGCCGACCGCAAGCCGCGGGGTCCATCGTCCCTTGGGTGGTCCACGAAGACAAGTTCTACGGGTTGAGCGATCAACGTATGGACGTTGCTCGACACCAAACCTGGAGTTCTCTATGGGGTCCATCGTCCCTTTGTCAAGACAAGTTCTTAGCGATCGATCGCACTAGAGAAATCTCCGTGCAATGCAAACAACGCCGCCGGCGCTACTCCAACCGCTGACGCTATCGCATCATCGTTGCCGCCACTGCTGGGCTCTCGCCACCGCAGCTACCTGGAATCAAACGATGAGTTGCACATTGTGGGTACCATGGTGAGCACGTTCCACGACACATAGAGCTTCACCTACAGCAGCGCGATCTACAAGTGCAACCTCCACGACCGTACGCCGGAGTGATCCAGGGTGAGGGACATCGGTGATCAAACATTGTTCGTGTCTAAACATTCCAATGAAAGTTTCAGTGAAACAAGTGTATCCAAGTATAAGAGAACAAAATCTACACATCTGAACCATTGTATGAGGATTCATACGACTTGGTCCATCGACTGGAGATCGTTGATATTGCTATCGGTGCATCCGAAATAAAGCCCATCTAGGAAAAGATGCAGGGTTCCGAGGCTTTAGGTTGGATTTGACCCAATCTCTGGAAGCTCTAGAGTTTGTGAGCTTGCGACGCCGCGTGTACTCCGTGACTACGTTAAATTCATAAACTTTGTTTTTTGAATTAAATGTCACTTTAACGTTGGTATTTAATTTAACAGTATTGTTATCTTATCGTGCGGTTCGTATATTTTTAGTATAAATTGTTAGTTATCTTGTAGCAACGTACAAACACACTACCTAGTAATAATATAATAATAAAATTGTAAAAGCGAAAAAAAAGAGACGTATTCCGGAAAAACGTTTTATTATTCCTTGACAAGCCCGCACACATACAAACACACTCGTCCCTTCCCTTCCCCTCCATCTGCAATCTTCCTCCTCCTCCCTTCGACGCTCTCCCCTTGCTTCTCGCGCACACTAACCAATCCGAGCACCCGACGCCGCGCCCCCCGATCGAATCCACCGGAGCCGCCCGCCTGCGGCCCGCCCGCGCCATTGCTCGAATCGGGAGGCGTTCGTCCGCCCGCGCTGCTGCCCCGCACTCCCGCGCCGTGGCGGTGGCGTTGGCGGTATGTATGATCGCTAGAGGGAGAGGAGGAGGCGGAGGCGGCAGCAGCGGTGGGGATTAGGGCGGCGGCAGTGCTGGTGCCGGGAGGAGGAGGAGGAGGAGGAGGCGTAGCCCATGAAGGCGACGGCGCCGCCGGCGAAGCGGCGGAGGGGCCCGCGGCTGGCGGTGCTGGCGCTCGTGTTCTGTTCGCTGCTCGTGCCGATCGCCTTCCTCTTCAACCGCTTCCCCGCCGGTGAGTCCTCTGCTTCGTCCCCCTCACGACCCCACGCCCGCGGAACCCCCGGGATTTGGGGGAATGCAGGCGTCGGCGCGAATCGGATCAGTGCCGTGCCACACGGATCTGTTCCTCGGAGCTTTGTTCCCTGTGTTATCGTGCAGCGTGTCGTATTAGCGATTTTGTTGTTGCGCTCCTGTTTATTGGGATTTTTGGGAGGTTCGATTTCTGATTGGTTCGTTCGTCTTTTGTTGTGCAGTGTATGTGACGGATGAGCGCCCTCAGCAGGTAACTGCATTTTTTTCTCTTAAAATACTAAATGCAAATTTTCGTTTATTTTTATGATGTTTTCAAAGAAAATATTCATTGATGTGTTTCATTCTGTTTGTGTTTAATGCAGGAGATTAACTTGCCTTCATTCGATCCCATTGAAAGCGGTGGCTCTGTAAATGAAGTAAGGCGGGACAGTGCTTGTGCTAGTGTTGTCAGTGATTAAACCATGCATCTGTCAGTATCTTGGTGGTTGTTGACATGATCATGCGCTGTAGGATTGCTTGTATTTGTTCTGCAGCTTGTATTTGGTTTTAGCTATTGTTCTTATTTGCTCCCTTTTGCTGTCAACACTAGTCATAATTAGAGAGGCCTACTAGCACCAGTGGAAATAAAACAGAGATATTTTCTACTCCTTCAGTCCGAAAAAACTTGATGTTCTAGGATTGTCCTTAGTCAAACTATCCTAAGCTTGACTAAATTTACAGAGAAAAGGACTTCAAATTTTAGCTTTGAACTGCATCTTCACATAGATTGGCTAGACCAAAACATCCAAAGTAAACATCATTAGGTCAACAAAATTAACCAATGGGACCACAAGTAGGGCAATATTCTGTTCTTCATATAACTTAGCACCTCTACAGCTCAGCAAATTCTGATAACACAGCTTAGAAAACTAATTGCATTGAGTGCGGGTCACTTGTACAATTATTGCTCCATTTTTTTCCCCACCTCTTAACAGTGTCATCCTATTTGTTGTCAGCAGTGTTGAGCCATTGCGTGTACCATTAAAAAAAGGTGGTTCAGGGTTATGTGTTTGCATCCAATTGATTTTTGCTCAATTGTGCATAACTCTCAAATAAATGGCGGGGAAAAGACAGAAAGTGCTCTGTACCTTATTTGTTTTTACTGGAGGCGAGCACATTTGAGTTGGAGAACATGGAATTTGATCAGCTTCAAGAGATTGTTGAGAATTCTTCAATTATTGTGTTTGTTGGCTCTTGGGGCCAAGTTGTACAATTCAATGTTCGCAAAAACAATTTTGGACACTAAATCTAACAGCTAGAAACCATCCCACAGAAATATACATCTGATATCTCTGCTTCCCTAGTCTCCTCAAGATCATGAACTATTATAGGGAAAATATACATATATATCATTAAAACATTATTGCTATCTTTGTCAGTGATTGCTACATTACTTAACATCTCCCAGATTTATATTAAAGTCCCTAATCCTTTCTTCTCTTCCTGGTTTTCAGGATGTGTCCAAGAAGTCTTCCGGGAGCAGTAGTGTGTTGCACCGTGGTATTGATAGTGACCCTTCCATAGTTAGCCCTAAACCAAAAGCTGTAGGTTGGTACAAAGGAGATCATCAAATAATTTCAATTCAATCAACGTTAGAAAATGTGCAATATAACCCTTAGTATATACAAAATAAAAAACAATGTAGGAAAACAATGATTTGGGTTGTGTGAACTTTATATGATTTGTTGGGCTTTAACTCTACATTGTTTTCAAAATCTCAGTATCTGCTTCGTACTTGTTGCATGTTTACAGTAATGTATGCAGCAGTATTATACATTTCAAAAAAAAAAAGTTAACGTGAATCGGTAAATTTTGAATGAATGTTAGTGTAGTTACCTAGGATATAATGGTCATTAGCCATAATTGGTCGTTTGTATTAACTTGTATTCCATCAATTTCCTACTTGCTTTTTCTTATGATATACTGAACCTTCATCTTGGCACGTGTGCTGACATGACAATTGGCTCTATATGCAGTTTTCCCCCCTCCAAAAATTCAACAAGAAGTCCTCCCCCCTCCAAAAGTTGAACCCAAACCAGAAGTGAAGCCAGTACCAGTACCAGTTCCAGTTCATCACAACAAAAATGTATGGATGCTTCTCAGCTATTTGATTTTTAGCAAATTATTTTTTAAGTTTAACTTCACTTTAGCGTCGATCTGTAGTTCTGTACAGTTGCTTCCTCTTACCTTAGCTCAGGATGCAATCTGGCTGTTTTGTATGAGAAGTGTATTTATATATTCTTTTTTTAAACACATATTCCTTCCAGATTAACCTTGACAACAAGAGGCCTCCCAGAGTTCAAAGTGCTGATGAGGTGGAAAAGGCTAAGGCTTGTCAACTTGAGTTTGGGAGTTACTGTCTCTGGTCCATAGAGCACAAAGAAGTTATGATAGATGCCATTGTGAAAAGGCTGAAAGATCAGCTATTTGTAGCCCGATCTTACTACCCAAGCATTGCGAAACTTAAAGGAAAGGAGACATTGACTCGTGAACTGAAGCAAAATATTCAAGAGCACGAAAGGGTTCTTAGTGAATCCATCGTTGATGCTGATCTGCCATCCTTGTGAGTATTTAGCATGTGTGATTGCCAGTTCATGTCTTTAATGCTTGTCCTGATTGATCTTGTTAATTGCAAGTGTTACAGTCTATGTTACATAGATTCTCTTACAGATAAAATTAGTCTGAAAATCCTATTTTTATCATATATTTCAGTACTCTACTTTCAAGATGTTCCTTCAACCGTACATGTTTTATGATGTAATTTTAAATTCACGCCCTTAAAAAAGAAGTAAAATTTTCCATCACGAGGCTCTTCTGATTTTAGCATCCGACATGTTCTTTCAGTATAAAAACGAAGATAGAGAGGATGGACCAATCAATAGCACGAGCCAAATCATGCACCGTGGATTGTAACAATGTTGACAGAAAGCTTCGTCAAATTCTTCATATGACAGAGGATGAAGCTCATTTTCATATGAAGCAGAGTGCATACCTATACAACCTTGGTGTTCACACCATGCCTAAAAGTCATCATTGTCTTAATATGAGGTTGACAGTAGAGTACTTTAAATCCATGCCATTGGATCCAAATGACTCTTCTGCCCATAAGTTTAACATTCCAGACAATAGGCACTATGTTATATTGTCTAAAAATGTCCTTGCTGCTTCTGTTGTCATCAACTCAACTGTTAGTAGCTCTGAGGTATGCAGGAAGTTTTTTCTTTCTCCTTTAAAGCTGTTAGTGCATCTTCCGGGCTCAGCATTGCTAACATCCCCTTTTCCTATTGCAGGATACTGAAAATGTAGTCTTCCATGTACTAACTGATGCTCAAAATTTTTATGCCATGAAGCAGTGGTTTGCAAGAAACTCCTATAGGGAATCAGCTGTCAATGTCATAAATTATGAACAAATTATTTTCGAGAATTTCCCTGAGTTTGGAACCCAGCAGTTATATTTGCCTGAGGAATTTCGTGTTTTCATCAGTAGCCTTGAGCGGCCTACTGAGAAGAGTAGAATGGAGTATTTATCAGTGTTCAGTCACTCACATTTCTTTCTTGCCGAAATATTCAAAGATTTAAAGAAGGTAATTGTGTTGGATGATGATGTGGTTGTTCAACGTGATATCTCTTTCTTGTGGAATGTTGATATGGGAGATAAGGTCAATGGTGCTGTCAGATTTTGTGGTTTGAAACTTGGCCAACTGAGGAACCTTCTGGGTAGGACAATGTACAATCAACAGTCATGTGCATGGATGTCTGGGGTTAATGTGATTGATTTGGACAAATGGAGAGATCATAATGTTACAGAGAATTACCTGCAACTCCTGAGAAAGGTTGGTTTCTTTTTCATTCCACTCATTTAAATTATAGTTGCTTTATTCCCTAATTTGTACTAGCTTGTGACTGGAAGGTCCCGGGTTCGAGTCGCGGTCTCCTCGCATTGCACAGGCGAGGGTAAGGCTTGCCACTGACACCCTTCCCCAGACCCCGCACAGAGCGGGAGCTCTCTTTGCACTGGGTACGCCTTTTTTTTTAGCAAATTTGTTGACTACCATGGAATCATGACCTATTTACGGTACTTGGGTTCTTGAGTGGTTCTCAGTTAATTTTGGCCTCCAGCTTCTGGAAAACAATATATGACTCGTTTACTTATGAAATTGTATGGGACTGATCAACTAATATTCTTTCACTCTAATGTTGTTGTAGTTTGGGAACAATGATGACGAGGCCTCACTGCGAGCTTCAGCTTTGCCTATAAGTTTGTTGTCGTTTCAGCATCTTCTATATCCACTTGATGAGAGGTTGACTTTATCTGGACTTGGATATGACTATGGAATTAAAGAAGAAGTTGTTCAGAGTTCTGCGTCATTGCATTACAATGGAAATATGAAACCTTGGCTTGAGTTGGGTATACCAGATTATAGGAAGTACTGGAAGAGGTTTCTTACACGAGACGAGAGATTCATGGATGAGTGCAATGTAAGTCCATAGTGCACATGAGCTTGGGAGCCGGATCATTTTTGACAGTAGATTTCAGTCTACTGCTGTACTATATACTAAGAGGACCAACACTTCCGTTGAGAAAAGACCTGGGAAGCAGTCACTAGCCATCAATTTTGACAGAGTAGATCCAGCACCATCTGTTCATTGAACTTGTGAGCTCGATGGATGGTTTTTTCTGCAGTTACTGGAGTTTAGTGTTAAGTTCGAAGGATAATGCAGTAGACAACGTTGGTGTGGTGGTGAGGCTCCAGGTAAGAGGGAGCATCACACTCACGTAACAGGAATGATCATTGGTGGATTGAGGCACCTTAATTGAAATTGGTGCCTTCCACCTCATCGATGCAGGTTAATTCTTTTCTTTGTTGATTTTTTGACCCCTCTTGCTTTGTCCTTCTGTCAATAAGGACATACACAGGTTAAAATTCAAATTCTTTGCTCTTAGTTGTTGCACATTGATTGTTCTATCATTATTATGTTGATGCAAAGTATATTATGATGTCAGAGACTCATCTGTTACAAAAACGAGATTAACAACTGTTCTATTTGGATGTCTTCTGAGCACTAAAACATTATCTCATGACCCAGCAGATTTGTATATATATCCATATATGTTCGTGACTGGGTGTAACTGCCCACATAGGTTTTCCTCTATGTGCTCCACTGTGGCCTAGAAAGAATTAAGTGCACTGCAGTTCATAGCAATACATATGCTTGATATCCCAGCAGTAAAAACGTGCTCCAGGCACTTGGTGAATGGAGATCCTTGTCACTGTAAATTGGCTATTAAACCGTGGTGCGATGTAATAATCATGTAAAAAGTGTAAAACATGCGAATTTGCCAAGGCAGCAATAAGCATCAGACTCCAAGAAACCGTAAACATGGGATGCGCATGCGAGTACGTTTATGATCTCAGAGAGTAAAAGTTGACTTAGACAGGTCCTGTATGCATAATCGTACTCCGTGTTTGTCTAGGGCCGAACTTTACTATCCAGCATTACGTGTTTGTTTGCGATATAAGAGCGGCTTCATCAGATTAAAGAAAACCAATCTCCTTTTTCTGTGACCAGTAAAAGAGATTAAAACAAAAAAATATGCTCTAGCATATTCTCTTTTCAATCCCCTTTCCTTACGGGTCTATTTAGATCATGTTTTGAAAGGTTAAAAAAATAGATCATGATTTGAAACCAATATATAGAAAGTGTTTTCTATTTTCTTAGAACCAAATATGGCCTATTTTTTCGCAATCCCTCAAATGGAGGGATCTATTACCATTTTTTCTCAATCCCCCTTTCTGACGTCACGGGCTCACAGGTGGAGCCGTTGCTGTTGTGAGCACGCGAGCTGACCGCACTGGGCAAGAGAGTGCACGGGCCACTGGCTGCACCAGCACCACATCGGGCCTCGTGGGCCACCGGCCGTGCCCCCTTGCCGGCCATGGGAGAGAAGAGGGACGAAAGAGAGCCACGGGAGAGACCGAGAGAAGTGGGAAGATAGAACTAAAATGAATCACTTACATGTGGGGCCCTGCATGGAAGGAAGTTTAAGGAGGATTGATTTTTTCTCAATATGCTGAAACAATTGTCGCCCAGAGTATCTCACTCTATGGAAAACAATCCAAGTATGACGGAGGTACACCAAGTATCCTAGACGAGAAGCCCAACCTAGACAGGATACCTCATCTACTTGGAAGATAAGGCATATCAAGTTGTACTTCGAGACCAACTCTATAGGGTAGATTTCCTTGTAATGAACTAGGAAACCCACATTGTAAATCGATCGGGACTCTATGTATAACCCCACCCACTGGAATATATAACGAGGGGCGGGGAGCCCCGATCGGTATACAATACTCGCTCATAGCAACCCCGGAAACTAGCCATCAGCGCCCATGTAAGCTCGAGCATACGAGATAAGAGATCTATATCTGTTCTCAACTAGACGTAGGGTACCACTGTACCTGAACCAGTATAAACATGCTGATCTCCATTGCTGGAGCAAACATCTCCGACAACAATCTTCCGTTAAAATTAGAATTCCTATTTTTTCAATCTCATAGCAACTTTTAAGGGAAAAAAAAGGGAATCCGGTGGAGATGCTCTATCAAATTGGCATTCCCTGTAGCCACAATAACGTATATTTAGGTTAAATCATTTAGTCAAACCATTAAAACTACATACATCACTAGCTTCTAGAGTAAATTTTTTAGTTCGGGGGCATGCAAGGTAGATGTGTAGATTTATATCAGAAAATAGTTATCATAAATTTGAAGGACTTCAAAAATATAATTCGAGAAGATATTAATTTTCAAAGATATGCATTGAAGATTGTGTAAAGTTAAGCATGGCAAGTTTTTGTGACTAGAGGTAGTACTAAACCTGATTAAAAGAGGAAGCTTCAAAGTGTGGTGAAACGACACTTCTTCAGTGATCTCATAGATTTAACAAAAGAAAATAGGCTTTAGGTCCGAAGGAATATCTGTTAGCCTCTTGGGCACAACTTGGTATCGTCTATTTGAGATGGATGCCTTTCCTATCATGGTTTATTTAGAGTTTTAACCTAGGTCTATTTACTAAGTACTCCCTCAAGTCTGTTTTCTTAGGCGTAGCGACTAGTAACGTAGATACCAAGACATCAGCACAGTGTGATTATTGTCCGCCAAGCGTCGCGCCCTCCAAGCCCGTTTGAATGCAAAAAAAATGTTTTGGATTTCGTCAAGACTTGAATGCTCGGCGGTAGAACGCATCAAAACCTACAGGTGCGCCTAACATATTGGTCCACTTCAAAAACACGAAAATGCCTAAGGAAACGAATTAGAGGGAGTATATCAACATACAATTAATCAATGCAATAAAACAAATTATTCATGATTCATTTTGTGCCTCTCCATTTATGTTACAACAAGAACCAAGGAAATTAATTGATTAGTGGTTGAGTATGTGGTGGGGGGAGGGGGCATGTGCCCTGACCTTATACATGTATTTATATGTCCACTCTTTGTCGTGTGAGATACCAAGACATGGAGTAGATAATGAAATAAAGTGACTCGATAGTTCTTTCTCGCGTTGAAGTCGCATACAAATCTCATGGCATATACTAGATTAGTGACACATTGCACTATGTAGTAAATTCATAGTAAGATTTAATGTCAAATATAAAAAAGAACTCATACAATATTGAATCGAAGATATGCTTGATATAAGTATTTCACTAGATGTTGCTAAGATGTTCCTACCAATTGTTATTCACTATAAAAGCCCCATTGATCCACATCATCCACAAATTGACCCTACCAATTGTTATTCACTATAAAAGCCTATTAATCCACATCATCCATAAATAATCAATTAGTTTGTTTGACCAAGTAAATAGTACTTTTATTTATGTGTGTCCATATAAAGCTAGTCTCTTCATGCAAGGACATTTGAGAAATGTCGCTTGAGATGCTCTTGTTTAGAGGTTCTCACCAAACACCAAACAGAGTGAACATCCGTATAACTATTTATGATTGCAGGGGCACATGCCCCCCTCCATGTTTAGAAATAACTCAATCTTACCTCTTAAAAGGAAAAAAAATCCACATATATATATATAAGAAGAAGCATGAGAGATTTACATTTTTATCTTAGCTTTTAACAGAACAAATCTAACCACCATAGTGATTTTCAATGTAAGAGAAAAGTACATGGTTTGAACCTAGTTGAATTAACATGTCCAAGAAAGAGTTTGACTAATCATTCTTGATAGTTACAATTATCCAACATGGTCAATGGATATAAAGTTCAACGTATCAACCTATGGATTTATAGTGGCATTCAAAGCACCTTATGATAGAGCATCATTGCTTATAGATCACAAAAGAGTTTTTTTTATAAAGTACCATACACATCCAGATAAAAATATGTGTATCTCATGGATGTAAATCTATGCACTTTATGGCTAACTCTCAAAGAGTGCTATGAGCAACACATGGAAGTCATTCTTCTCAATGCCAACCATGATTATCCATAGTTTCATTTGTAGGAATTTATATTACTATGTTTGTCCTAGAAGAATTCTTAAATTACTTTAGGTCAAAGTGTATGATAAACTTCTACAAAGGAATCATCACTAACATCATCCTAAGTCCTAACAATGTTATATTACTTTAGTGCGTTTGAAATTTTAGAACCATGGCAAGCTTAATGCCATGATATAATGTCTCCAAAGAATTTTAATGGTAAAAGTTAATGCAACAAGGAGAATCAACCCGTGCATCTCCTTAGGGTCAAGGCATTTCACCAAAATGTCACACCTTCAAACACTACATTGATCTGTATTAGAAATCCAATGGGCATATCTATCCATCCCAATAATTAAGATATGGAGCACACTTCAATGTTCAGTCTGACTAGTTCCATGGGGGAACCTAAGAAGGAACTAGACTCTTAGTCATCAAGAGGGCCTTATAAGCATGAATAATATGATTTTTCAAATTTGTTTCATATGATCCATTTGGAGATCAGCATTTTCCTACCATTTTGTAGATTAGGGATGAAAATGAACATGACTGATCCAGATAACCCCTCACTTGTTTTTTGTTTCATATTATTTTGTTAAGATTGAAATTTGGAACGAGAACGAACACATGACTAGCGAGATAAGGAAAGCGATATACGGTCAGGAACCCATCAAAAGTGGTAGGAAACTAGGAATATAAAATGGAATTTGTCTCACACCATGTGGAAGCATCCAACATCTATGTCTTGACTAAGTCAAACACACTAGAAAGTAACATGATTAGTCTCCCAAGATCTAACACAAGCAGGAACTAAGGCCCGAGGCTGAAAGCCCTATGCTTGATTTTAGTAATTAAGACAACTAGTGGACTAACCTTTTGGTAAGTATTGTATAAGCTAGGTTAGGTCCATACCAAAGTGGTGAGCAAGCCTTGCAGATGGATGAAGGGTGATCAATCCAATTAGAGCAAGCTCACACTTGGAAAAGAAGAAAGAGAACAATAAATCCCTATGGTGATCAAGGCAAAGGTACAAGATAGGGTTTTATTTTGCTGGCCAAAACACAATAGAGTGCATGGTCAGGTTTAGGATAGATAGCCATACCAAGAGGGGAACGCTAAAGTCAGATCGGTTGTCTAAGTGCCCCTAGGTGTGAAATGACTTTGCATATGCATTGGACCTAATGACATGGTCAAATGCAAGTGAAACCCCTTTAAAAGATGTTTTGAAAATGCTAACTCACATGCACATATGTTAGTTGGACACTTGACGGATTTAGCACATTTGAAAAAGGGACTGGTTTGAAGCTGTTTGAGGCCTATCTGCTGGCACCGGATTTGTCCGGTGTTGCCCTGCAGAGAGCACCAAATGAAGCACTACGGTTTAACCGTATAGGGGTGCACAGGGTCACTTAACACCGGCTAGGGTTATCCACTAGATTTGTCCGGTGGTTACCAACTGACATGCTCCGGACTAGCGGTGTGAAGCACCAGACTTGTTCGATGAGCAAAAATCCTTACTAGAGCCTCTCTGGTAACCACCGGATTTGTCCGGTGGTGCACCAGGGGCCAAGCACCGGACAATGCACCACCAATATAGTCGTTAGGGGAGTTAATAGCTAGTTCTGTGGGCCACTATTTGAGTTGCCACCGGATTTGTCTGGTGGTACTAATAACCAAGCACCGGACAAAGTGCTAGGCTGCCTATTTCCCATAACGCTTCATCCAGTGGTGCTATTCGGTCAGGACCAAACTTGTCAGTGCCTACATAGACAGCCCACATGGGGCTTATGAATAGTTGTTGGCCGGCTCTTTGAGAGTACTCTTGGCATTCTAAGCAATCCAACACACTTGTGGGCCTTCAAGAACACCTCACACATCTTTTGACTTATGCTTGATCTAAAGTGAGATTGGGAGAGATCTAGTGCATTTGCTTTGTTGATTTGCATCTAGTGGCACTAGTTCTTCGATGAGGTTGTGGTTTTATTATTATTCTTGGTGGTTGCCACCACCAAGATTGCTTGAGCAGCTATGGTTGTTGAGGGTTGTGTTTGTGATTGTTCTCTGCCTCCAATCGGTGATTTGGGATCCCACCTCGCGTAGTTCCAAAGGGATACTCTACTGAAATGCTCGTGGCTAGTTGGAGTGCACCTTATGCTTGATTCTTACGACACCCAAGTTGTGGGTCTAGCTTGCCACGCTACTTAGCACGCGAATCATCACTTGGGGACTCACCACAATGTGGACGTAGATTGCCGGCAAGCAATAGAACCATGGGGATAAATCATTGTGTTGATCACTTACCCTCGTTGGTTTGCTACTACTCTCACTGCTTGCATTTACTTTCATATCCATTGCTTGTGTGGTAGTTGCTTGGTAGAGTAGCTCTCTAGTTAGTTGTAGTTTTAGTAGTAGAGTAGCTTGTTTTTAGTTGCTCACTAGTTTTGCTAGCTAGAGTTGCTTAGTGTAGCTAGTAGTCTTGTGTGGTGTTATGATTTAGATTAGAAATCACTTGCTACTAGAATTGTGTAGGGACCTACATGAGTGATCTAGAACTAGAGCAAGTAGTGGCTACTAGGATCATCTGTTATACTAATCACCTTTGCTCTAGTGTTGTGCCTTTGTAGAAGAACATGTTTATAGGCTATTCACCTCCTCTAGCCATCTAGATCCTTTCAGAGCCAGACACACACAAGTGCACAACTAATGTAGTCATGCATGCTTGAACAGAGGCACAACTCACAACAAACATAATAATAATAGACTACACTAATTGGCATCATTTCTTCATTTAAACTCAACAGCTTACGGGTCTTTGAAGTCATTCATGACATTAGGATCACTTTCTGCATATTCTTTATACTTAGTTATGACAACTAGGATTACTTTGTTGTGTTATAGTGTGCTTAGTCATGAACTTTACTTGTCATAACTAAGGACCATACTCTTAATGTGATCTTGACTAAGGACATGTTGAATGGCTTTTTCTAGAAACTTATTTCAATCAAGTTTTCCAATGATGTTGTACAACAAACAGGGTTCCAAAAATAATTTCCTAAATAAGTTGGTCAACGAAAAACTATGTAGAAGTTTCCTATGATAATGTTCTCATGAAAGTTGTGTGAAGAAAGTTATTAGGAGAATTTATCTGATAAAAAGGTTAAATGTTGTGTATAAATATATAACTTTCAATTCAAAAATGAGAAGTTGTTTGTTTATGAAAGAATCTTTGGGTGACAACTAGGATTACTTCTTTGTGATAGAGTGTGCTTAGCCATAGACTTTAGTTGTCGTAACTAAGGATCATATTCTCAATGTAATCGTGACTAAGGACATGTTGGATGTTTTTTTTTCTAAAAACTTATTTGAATCAAAATTGTCCAAAGATGTGCAACAAACGGGGTTCTAAAATAGTTTTGTAAATAAGTTGGCCGACAAAAAACATATGTAAAATCATTTTTATAAGTTCCCTACGACAACACTTTCATGAAAGTTGGGCAAAGAAAGTTATTTTAGAATTTATCTAATAAAAATATTATATATAAAAGTTGTGTATAAATATATGACTTTCAATTTAAAAATGAGAAGTGGAAATGAGAAATTTTAAAATGTAGAAGGATACCCCATGCGTTATTGCAGAAATCGTGAATAATTCAGAATAAAATTAGACAACTTATATTTACTTGTATGAAGGGATAAATTATTAAAAATAAATTTTAGTGGATTGTTTGGTATGCTAACATGGATAACTAAATGTATGTTGATATGGATGAGGTGGCTTGTTGACATAGTTAGGTACCATAATTAGCGGGTATATTATCATGCATATAGTTAAGAAATGTCCGTGGTCGTTACATCTGCTCCGCACGGCAAGCAAGGCCCATATCACTCCCTCATCTCCCAAAGTCCCAAACAACACCAAACAAATCGATGTAGAATTAATTCTAAAAGTTTGCAACATCAAACAATGCGCATGCGTTTCAATATTTGGTTCCTATGCCGCTAGGGAAAAGCACTGGCATGCTTCCGATAAATTCATGTGGTCATCTACATTAACTCGGTGACCACTTCACCACCCACCCAAACAAAAGAAATCCAGATAGAGCAAGGCCTTATTTTACCCCACTTCGGGGATAGCTCTTATTGCTAATGTTATAAACACGGCTGCAAGGAGGTTCTCTTTCCTCCTCCTTTGTATCCTTTATATATAAATATAAATATATAGCTAACTAAAGGCGGTACAACTCATCAATAGACGTACGGATCAATAGTAGAATTCCACACACTGGTGATACCAATTTTTGACCAAGCAACGGATTGAACAGCTATATCTGAATGGTGCAACCGATATGTTAACTATCTTGCAGTTTGCGCGGCTTCTCTTGGGAGATCTTAGATCCATCGTCTGTGGCTCCTTCAGTATCAGATTCGATCTCTACAAGTTTCTGTTTGACACCTAATCCAGATGACCGTTCTCCCAGTTCTGCAGTCTTCACGCTGTCTCCTGTTCTATTTGGGTCCATGGTTGCACCACTATCCTTGTTTGCAGACTGGTTCAGAATAGATGATGGTTTTGCCGCTGTATCCCTTGAGGATGGATCCTGGACTTTCTCTGTGCTCGATTGACTCTGCTTTTCAAACATCATCTGCAGATACTTTCCTTGCTCTTCAATCCGCAACTGCAATTTTCTCTGAATCTGCAATATAGGAATATATGTATCATGTTAGGATAAAGTGAGCTTCATTGGCATTAATGTTGGGCACATGCTGCATCATGTTAAGAGAAAAAGCACTTATGGAATCAACACCAACTAAATTTAGAAATAGTACCTCAAGCTGTTCATGAAGACGTTTCTGGACTTCCATCTGAAGGCGCAGCGCTTCAGTAAGATCCATGCTCCTATACAAGAATAGCCAATATCATGAAAGAGTATTCCAAGAAGTAACCAACAAAGATGATGGCATGATGCAATTTAACATATAGGAAAACCTCAAAATTAGATTTTTTGTTTCAAAAGAAGCAAGAAAAGAAGTGAATGCAATGGGCTCAATACGCATCATGACAATTCCAGAACTAGAAGAGGGTGTTGACACATGCATCTACACTCAGGGCATGATCTATGCTCAGAGTATCTATTACTTGTTAAATTTCAGACCATGATTGTAATTGTAAAAGCATTGCTATTGTAAAAAGGCCCTTCAAGAATAGATTTGAAACAGCTTGTAGGCAATTCATAGCCCTCAAAATTCTTTAGTGCATGGTAAATAATGCAAATCAATGGATGCAAATGTGTCAATTGAGAACAGTCCGGAAATAGATCAATTCTAGGGCAGCAAACCTTACATACACACTTTAGTATCGTTATGAACAAAAAGCAAAGCATATTCCTAAAAACCACTATCATCCAATTAGACATGCATAAATCGGCAAGTAACTAGCAATCCAAATGGCAAAGACGATACTTTTAATACTCTGCCATCATTTCAAGAGATGTACAAAGAATAATTTTCTTTAATTCATACTCCCTCCATTCCAAATTATAAGACGTTTTGGCTTTCCGAGATACATAGATTTTTTTATGCACTTACGTATACCCTATGTCTATATACAAAGTAAAAGCAATGTATCACACAGCAACATGATACCAGTTACCACCAAATGAGACAAGTAGCACACCAGAAAGTGAAATTAGGGATTACATATGGTAATTATTCACTCACGTTTTCAGGTCCAGGACCAGCTCTTCAGCGGCTGTCCTTTTTTCCGATGTACCTGCATAATGAGTTACAAAAGTATAATATTAACACTAACAATTCACAGTTATTTTGATATTGCTACACGTATGCATGCTGTCTGCAACACAGAATTCCTCACGACATGGTTATCATGACACAAATAAATAAATAAGATGAAAGTTTCATGACCCCTAGACATTTGCCATGCAAAATGTAATCCACAACACAAAGAAGATAGGTTGGGAAGAGTCCAGGCGAGATATACCTTCAGACAGGTCTGGTTTATAGCGAGCTGAGCGGTACTTCTGCAACACAAACCAGTTCAGATAAGAAAATGAAAAGGTCTCCTTTGGGCATGGATACTACTTAGAAAGCTAAACAGCAAACCTGCAGATGGCTTTTGACATGATATATAGTCAAACCATCAACTTTCATGAGCTTTAGCACGCCCTTGGGAGTAGCTTCTGAATAGGAATAAGAGAAAAGAACACATGCATTAAATGATGTGATATAGGGTTCATAACTTAAACTATTTGAGGGAAAATGACAACAGGGCAGACATACTTTCGCTACCGCCAAGCTGATTTACAGCATCTACAAAACATTCATGGAGTTCTGGGGTCCATCTCATCCGTTGTTTAGCAACTGAAGCATTGCTGCTATTGGGAGGACTAGCAACAGGGCAAATCTCCATACTATGAGATGAAGCTGACTGGTTTACTGCAGGTAGTGATGTAGCTGAGTTGGAAGTTTGAATCATAGCCTATAACAGAAAGGAGTAACAGTCATAAAAGAAACATAAGTCATTACAGCAAGTGTCACAGAAATTACAGGGCTACGAGCCTACGACTATCTTAAACACAGACAACTGGGTGCCTATATTGTACCAAAGAGGAGATGCGGCAACAGCACTTTAATTTTCCAGCGGTAACCATTTAGCGTTAATAACATGAAAAGTTCTTAAAGGATTCTAACATGGTACCTCCAGTGGTCAATCTAACATGTACAATAACACTATTCAAATGAAACATGTTGGGAATCACTTCTGCTATCTTCACCGCCAATTCAATAAGACATCTTAAACAACTAAAAACTGGAGCTAGACCAAATTACTTGCACAACATTAGGGCTTCTCAATTTCTCCTAAGGGGTAAGGGAACCTTCATTTACAGATGTACGTCACAGAAGTATGTGCAAAGCAAAAAAAATCTCCAATTTGAATAACTAAAATACATAAAATATTTGCACAAACCTACCAGTAGGTTTAGTATCAAAACTAATGTCATAATAAAGAAGAGAGTATTTCTAAACTTCCAGAACAGAAGATGGAGCTACAAGTTTACTCATTATGGTTTTGCAGTTGCGTACTTTTGAGTGTGAATCAGTAGCTGTTGCGTCTAGAATATCTTTCCAATCATCATTCATTATATCTGCCCACCAATCATTATGTTTAGCAGTCTCATCAGATGTCATAGCAGGACGTATACTCTGGATTCGATTATCATCAGGAGCAGCAATATTATCTGTGTAGAGTGGTGAAACATCCATAGAAGATGTGAACCAGGCTGCCTCAGTGTGTGTTCCTGGGGTATTATCAGATAGAGACTGGAAAGCTTCAAAACTGGATGACTGAGAAATATAGGGTGCAACCATTGACTGGCTATCATGGTTAGACACAGAATCAAGTGGACTAGCAGAGTAGCCTGAATATGGTGCCCCGATAACACCAGCTCTTGGGTGCAAACTAGCAGACTGATGTATGTCATTACGCAAGGGCATAGAATCATCAGGCAGCTGCCTCGACATAGGAATATGCTGGGGGTTACAAGGCCTTGGGAAGCTCCCTTTCAAAGGATTTGGCAGAATAGGCAAAGAGGATGACATTGCTCCCAAAACTCTGCTCTTTTGAGACTGCATCAGATTAAACCTCCTCTTTAAGAACAGTGAACAAGCTTTGTTTCTTTCCCATAAGTCACTTTTGGTACCTTTCATCACCTTGATAAAAGCATTAATCCATTACTCTGCAAACAGAAGAGAAGTTCAATTAAATAAGGGTAAAATATTGAGAAGTCATGTGAAAATAATGTAACTGAGCAAACATAATTAGTGTCAATGGCATTTGGTGATTGGTCATATGCAAGGAATACTTTGATCAATGTGGGTTCAACATCTTTGCAATTGAGGCAATAAAGAATCAGTAAATATTTTTTTGCCAGGGTCAAGGTATCATCATTCAATCCATACTTTCTTTGAAGCTAGAAACCGGCACATTATGCCATAATAACTGATACCTTGACAAGGTCGCACTGACCTCAACTGTCATGTGGACTGTGGAGTCTCTACAATGAGAGGCGCAAAGAGGTAGGCCAGGTTCCTAGGTGAAAGCCTACTCTCAGAGCCATCAGGCCAAGTACAGGCCTGATGCTTGAATATCTCAGTTTACTTAGCAATTTCTTTGGCTTGTTGGCATGTTGTTTGGCTTCATGGCTAAGTTTGGAGGTTTGTTATTTCCCGGCCGGTGTCATTGCTAACCCAAGAACAGTACTTTTAGAAGCCAAGCAGAGATTGAATCTATTGTCCCCTTCCTCCTTCCCAGTCTCCTGGGTGCAGTGATTGACCACAGCACCATGGCACCTTGGTACAGCTCCGCTCCTAGCTTCTTCAGAGCGGATTCTTAAGAGCCCTACCAAATAGTTCAAATGCAGCTGGATTCTGGTGGGAGCTGACGAGAATCACTTCTCCATTTTACACTACGAGCTAAGAGCTAAAAACCTGCTCTCCATAGCTCCCCGTTCAATCACCATTAGAATCAATCTAGAATCAGTTCTCACCTGCTCCCCACCAGAATCACTCCATCAGAGAATCAAAAGTGAAGCTCAATGATCAGGAAGGAGACCTCTACCAAACTGGCCCTAAGCCACACTGAGGTCTAGAGCCACATCCTACTACCTCCCACAACAAAATTCTATGCCGTCCTCCTTCCAGCAATATCCCTATTCATAACAGGAGCTCTCTTACTGCTAAGAAAGAAGGCAGTAGTATTTTTTATCTAATTACTATCTTATCATCACAAATCCAAATTAGTGTGGTATTTAATATTACGAAATTATTATGCACAGATAGTCTGTAAGACGATACAATTGGGAAGTGGCCACTGAGTGAATGACACGCGGGTCCACCTGAGTCTATGAATTGCGGATCGAGTGCTAAAATATATACATGTGCAATCAATTCACAGGACTAGGACAAGACCCTGATTGCTGGATTAAGATTAAAAACCCTTGGGGGCAAGCAAGATATTCCACCAGTCAAGGACACGATATGGCAGGTCCGCAGATGATTGAAGATATCACAGTACAGCACCTAATAATTGACCTGAAATGACCCCCGATTAATCCTACCCCACCCAGTCTGACATCGCTTTCCGTACCGCGATCACACATTCACACCATCACAATCCCTAACCACGTGCACTCTCCCCCCACCAAACTCGCACGGAGCTAAGTCCCCGACCCGCATCCCCAGTCGTGATAAAAAACCCTAGGTAACCCCTCCACTCCTGTTGCATCTGGTCCGACGAGTCCACGACTCCAATCGGGATCGCCCCAGCGAGCCGATCGCACCCCACACGGACTTGGCGGCGTCGGCCAATCGAGACGGCCCGGATTGTACTGGATTGGACGGGGGAGACCTGAGAGGGGGAGGGGGAGGGGGAGGTGATGTACCTGGGAGAGTGCGAGGAGGCCGGCAGGCCGCCGCGACCGGCGCGATGATAGAGCTGGTAGGCTCTTCGCGGGGGAAAAAGGTGCGTGGGATGGGGAAAAATTCTGGGTGGGACGATCGCCTTTTGCCGCCGATCGCGGTGGTGGAGAGAGAAGCTGCCGGGAGGGGGACGCGAGAACCTGTGCTGCGCAAAGAGGACGACGCCCACCAGTTCCAGTTGCCCGGCCACACGGGACGCGCACTCTCTCTCTCTCTCTCTGGAGTCTCGAGTCTGGACCATGGTGGGGTACTAGGGTGGAGGTTTTTGCGGATAGGCCCATGCAGCATCGCCGTGGCCGTGTGTAACCTCTTGCCGTTGCCGTTGTGGTGCGTTTGGACTCTAGACGGCTTGGATGGCTTGTGAAAAATATGCGAATGAGCATCTCCAAGAGTTTTAATAAAGTCTCCTGTTAAAAAAAATCTAGAGCCTGTTTGAATCCTTCAATAAATTCATTCTAATAATTATAATTTAGATGTAGATTAATTAAGTTAATATAGTTATATATAGAATATATTTGTATATTTATTATTAGGCATACAAGGGACATACTTATATGTTGTATTTTATTATAGAGAAGTGAGTTGAAGAATGTGATATAAGATGGAGAATAGAATTATAGCATAGTGATCTATAGAATCCATTTCATCTTCCATCCTATGAATTTCAGATAGACTTATTTTTTGAGCTTGGTAATGTTATGGAATGTCAAATTCCAGGGCAAATAATCTAATCCATTATATAGATTTCAATTCCTCCAAAATAAAGGGATCCAAACGGAGATTTTTGACAAGAATAAAAAAACTCATATGTAAGAGTTCCCAATCCCACCTCCCAATCTTCGCATATATCCGCGCGTCTTCCACGGTCGTATCGGTCTTCCGGTCTAAGGTAGAAGAACGTGGAAAAGAATAAAAGATAGAAAAAGGTTCCTGATGCAAATGTGTAAGAGAGAAAGAATAAGTAAAAGTGGTTAGTATAATTTAGAAATAGTATAGAATTCCTAAAGTAAAATTATATTATATATTTTAGGAGTATAAATTGTTGGAAACTATTGAAGGTGGTCTTATTTATTTCTCCCAATACTTTTTGATGAGTTAGAAAAATCTATGATTTTAGGAAGATATTCCTATAGAACTCTGAAGCCCCTGTTATTAATGTTAAGAACATTCCTGTGAGCTAATTTATGATCGGGAATTTCCTTTACTTTAACTAAAAAAACTAATATTTGAAATAGAGCACGTATGGCTAACTTAACAGATAGGTACGTACGTAGAACATTTTTTATGTAAACTATATAAGATCATGTTTGAATCTTATGGTCTAAAGTTTAGTTGACTAAAATTGAGGACCATTTTAGCTAATTTGTGTGATCCAATAAATTAATGATTTTTTGTGATGTTTGCTAAATTTTAGAGAAACTCTAATAGTCTCTTTATATCTATCCTAACTGATAGAAATAGAGATCGGATCGGTGGGAATAAAAAGTCTCCAACCACGGGCGTAGAGGTGAACCTGGGCTCTTGCCCCCTTGCTTGCATGTTTTTATTACTGCATATAGTACTATTCTCACTATATTGCTCTATGAAAAGTACTATTCTCACTATATTGCTCTGTGAAAAGTTTTTTTGGAAGCTATGAAGCATATGAAAAGTAGAAAGCCTAGGCTTCAGCCAGCACAGAACAAACACAAAATGGTAGAAGAGCCTAGTATGCTCCATCAGATAGCTGCTACCAGTTATGATTGCCATTGAAAAAAAATTAGCCCCTACTTGTTTTCTCTGCACGCTCCGCCACCGTCTCCAACGGCTTCTTAAACTTCTATTCCATATTTCTTGCTAGTTAAAAAGACGAAGATGGAAATTGGCTCTCTAAAGGGTGCACAAGATATAAAGAACCTGTTGAAGGATAGTAGATATAGAGAACAATTTTTATTTAAATGACTTTCTAAATAATAATTAGAGAGTGGGTCTAGGAGAGACTTTCGGAGATGCTCTTCAACCACCAATTTAAAGCCTCAAGAGTTAAGAGAGTTTTAAATTTAGTGGTTAAACTTTAGATCTTGGAATCCAAACATGTCCAAAGTCATCAAAGTGGCACGATATTGAGTCGCGCCATCGCTAATGCCTCTGGCTAGCTAAATCACACCAAAGTAGACGACATGACTGAGTAGGTGAGTCATACCACCACCTATGGCGTGATACATATTTTCGTCCGATGATTCTTAGTTGTTAGGTGTTTTGATTTTTTTTTTTTTTTTGTCGATCTAGAATAAAGGACCTACGTATATCTAAAAAGTTCTTCGATTTTTTCAAGTAGATGTTATAAAATAAGCATGATCCGTTTTGCTCACTAGTCACCTAATCGATCGTTTAGCCCATTTATGCACCATTAAAATGCTACACGGTGGTATGCCATTTTCATTTAATCGGTCATTATCCAGTTTTAACAGTTGTTTTGCCCGAATAATGAGTAAACAGCAACTCACCGACACTTACTAATTAGCATTTAGGAGAATAATGGTTTTGCTTGCATCATCATACCTCTTACACTTTTGAAATAATAGTTACTTTTCCGTACCGATGTATTCGAGTCATAGGTTAACTTGATTAGCCTCAAAATTAACTGCAAAAATCCAAAAAAAAACATCTAGTTTCATGGTTTGGAAAAGTAGAATTTGTCATGTAATTGCTCAATATTTGTGTTGAGGCAAAATCTAAAGTTTCTTAACAAAGCACATGCACAAAAGCCCTCATACATTGTACATTGAATGTCTCCAAACACCAAACAACTTACATTCATCCTATAGAATCCTGACTATTCACAAATATCCTTTATACCATACTTTATCACACATCTTCAAGGCCAAGACACCATGGCCCAATCTTGTTTCAAACCAATGTGATTATCCATTACAAAAATACACATTAGTCCACAAGCACTTGTGTCTATGATCAACAACCCCCCCCCCCAAGTCACCAAGTCAAGGCCTAGATGCGTTCAATGTGAGTTGTGAGTAGGTTATTGACCTGGAAGATGGAACCAATCCAAGTGATCCGGGGCATGTATCATATAAAATCAGCGACCAATATTACAAATAGGTAGAATTCATTTTCAAACATTT